GATAAACGTTTTCAAAATTAAGACTGTAGGTACTAGTTCTTCCTTTAGACCTTTCGGAATGTAAAGAGCTTGATACCGTACAAGCTGATCAATCTGTACAAAGTATCTGAGAAGACCTGGGAGTGTACAAGGAAAACAGCCTTACTCCTCCGAGATGAAGAATCTTAATATACACATTTTGGGCGGTTCTCCCTTCACACTCATCTTGAACTCCCGGAATGTCAAGAGTGTGGGAATGATACCTACTGGCGGTGGAGATGTCGGAGGTCGCCGTGGAAGTATTTGGTGCGGAACCGTCACGGTCGGTCCCATATCTCCGTGTCAACACGGGTTAAACGTTCCGTCTTCAGAGCATTCATGGCAAAAACATCAATAGGAACTCAAGTACACAAGATGTCACAAATTGTCATAAATTATACTTTATATTATATTGTTTCAGTGAAATATTACTATTGAACCTATATGTGAACAGCGATGAGTTTCGAAACAACACCGTAGGTACTGAGCAAGAACTTTTACATATTTCTAAAACTATATATCTGCTGAGGAAGAATAAGCCGACAATATTGAATCTAATGTTCCAGTGAGGTGAATAGAGGTCAGTGTTTTATATACTTAAGTCTTTGTACACTCGAGGACTGTAAGTAAATCGAAAAAAAGTTACACGCCACAATTATTTATGAACTACTATTTTCACTTCCTCCTGAAGTTATAATTTAATATCTCACTTTAACCTTAGCCCACATTTCAACATATAATATCGCATACCCAACTGGAAATTTTCGTTCGCCCTTCTTAAATTCTACCATATTAGACTTAGTAGTACGTGGAAATTCGTATAACTTACGGCGGGATTTCGTTGAATAAAATTTCTAATATATTAGATTTAACAAGCCAATACGCGACTGTGGTGGGTATAATTATCCTACTGTCACCCAAATATTTCCTAAACATTTAGAATGAAAATCCTGAGAGTGGAAACATTGACTTGTTGATTAAACCATAAGCGGTATACATTAGTGCAAATAAATTGTCACACTGCTATGTTTGCAACTAATTTCTTCAGGTTTCGTGATGAAAAAGTGTAAGTTAAGTGACTTTACATAAAATGAAACATTGCAAAAAAAATCTCTGTATATTAGAAAGTAAACTGAAGAATTTTCAATTCGGTACAGCAAATGTCATTGCTGTAACTACAGTTAAAATTTTAATTCCGCCTACGACGAGAAAGCATGGCCAACCTTAATAAAAAACAAATTAAAATGAAAGAGAAAACAAGCGAACTCGTTTTCTTACTCACGGATTAATTATCTAAAATGCTCGTCACGAAAACAAAGTGCGTTGATGTACACAGCCGTCGCGATGATGTACAAATAATGAGAAGAGAAAAAGAATTGATGAAAACGTTGATGCTGCGAATTGCTTAATTGAAATTACTTGATGAAACTTGCTAACAGATTGTATCTTATACAATGCAATACTGAGCAATACAATACAGCCTGATTAAATTACTCAGATCTGATCGAAATTTCTCTTTGACAGTCTTGCATCTTTCAATATCCCAAACACAAAGTAAACAATAACAATGAGTAGGTATAACAATATTTAAACAGCTCATTTACACATTAAGCAATACAACAATCTCAAACATTTATTTTTTCAAATTTTGACACGTTCAATGTCCAGCAGCTAAATAATGCATTATAAAAAGTAAATGCCTATACAACTGCAAATTACTTTTGAGTCGGTGACATAATTAGTTTTGAAATAAGACACTCTTCTATTCATCTATTCGCAATAGCAAGAAGTGGGTTCCACCTTGAGTACTTTAAATTACATATTGTCCACTCGACGTATTGTTCCACAAACACTGACGTATAACTGGCATGACGGCGTATTAACATCTGCTACACGTTACACGCAGGCTCTTGTGCTGGTGTTCCCATTCCTCCGTAACCAGCGCAAGTGGAATGGAACTGTCATAGTTGCCAAGTTATTGTTGAGCTATCGCGGTAACTGGCCCATCTGTTGCCGTAACTGTTCTTTTGTGGCTAGTTTCCATCCCGGCGCCATCGTCAAACCATAACACCTGCTACAACCGCACCTTGTTTTACAATATTGATGAAGAAAATACAACTATAAGTAGAAGAATTAAGATCAATTCTGACTTAATTGAAGTAGAATTTCATATAGGCCCTACCTATAAATAAATAACAAAATTTTTGAGAATTTTTTTTAGGGAATTTTTCACATAATGTATGGCAAATTTATGGTTAACTGTACCATAACCATACAGTTATGGGGTTTTAGTACTTGTAGGTAAAAGTAGGATTTTAACATATTTTCTAAAACATGACCTTCAATAATCCCTCAAATTGTTGAATTGGTTTTAAACTTTTCCACTATGATTGCAAGCCACTTAGCTAAAATAATGCTGACTTAGCGTTGGCAGTTTCATAAGTCAAATGATATGCTTGAAATAATGTTTACTTTGATTAAATATCATACAACCAAAACACACATGCTTTTAACACAAGGTCTTAAATTGTTGATAACTAGTCAACTTGTGATGTATTCAACCGGCAAAGTGTCAACTGGTATTTCCATGTTCTTAACATTCACATAGAATTAAAAAAGTTCATTTGGGGTATTGATAGTAAAGTTCTGAACATGTAATCGCTGAGCAAAAAAAAAAAAAAAAAAATTAAAAAGCCCAATTTTCTGTAAAAATGTGTATACTCCAAGGCAACATTTGATTAATATTGTGCTTGAAACTGGGCCCACAAATAATTCCCAAAAGGTTGCTAAAGTTTTTAGGTTTGCATCAAAATGGCATATTCTACCTAGAAGTATTTTATCAGTCGTTTATAATCCATAAGTAGTTTCCGTTTACGCAACATGTAAGTTCAATTCAAATAGTTAATCTAAATAATCATGATTGCTGACTCAAACAACTCAAACAAATGCTTTTGTTAAATTATTAATGTCAAGAATAATGTTGATATACAAAAATGTACAGAGTAAGATGTTTTGTTATTCTTTAAAGCACAAGCCTAAAAACTAACCTCATCACAAGGCTGTTATATGTGTACAGTCCAGTAGCCTATCACACTTTACTCTGCCAATGGCAATTTCCCATTGCGGTTTCACGCCGATCCAGTACGAAGCACCATAAAACGCTTATACGGCACAGGGTTCCCGGAACTGCAGAATGAAGCTATCGGCAACAATACACAGTGCTATGTGAACGCACTTTCCGACACCACGGTAATGTTTTGACAGCCTATAAACGTTAACCGTAAACGGCAATGCCTTCTTTCGCAACGCCGACTGACTCCAGTTCGCTCCTGTGCGTCTAGTAGAAATGTCAAGTTTGTGGTTGTTTTTGTCTTTCGACAGCTGTTGAAGACATCGATGTATAATACGCTACATGGGAGCTATTATACATCGATGGTTGAAGATCGGATCCTACAAATATTGTTTGCTTGCAACGTTGTTTCCATACAAATCTAAGATCTTACTTTATATTAGAAATAATTTAATTGTTCAACCATTTTTAACATTACACATGTTTAGACTGGAAATATCTAGATATTATTAGTTTTTGATAAAATAAGGGAATTCAGAAATATAATCTGTTATACTTAAATTGATTTATCAATTAAAGTTCTACGTGAACAAACATGTTTGCCAAAAATTATATGTTTATGAAATATCATGTTGTTCACTGTAGGAAGTATAAAAATTCCATTCGTCTTACGCTTAAATCAACAATTTGCTCATGCGTAGTGTATTTTTTTTTTTTTTTTCAAAAATACTCCTGCATTCATTAGTGCAACAAACATGAATGTAATCACAGCTTAATACTAAGTAGAGAATCCATATAACTAAATAAAACCAGAACAACATTACTACCCTAAAATAATTCTAAATTTAAAAAAAACCATTAGATAATCGCATGAGCAAACTCAGACATTAATGGCTCGACAACGCAGTATTTTCATTTCCAAATAAAACAATCATTGCTGTTGATTACAAACCAAGACTTCCGTCCGACTATTACTGGTAATAAATAGCCAATCAAACAACTTCCCATCGACTATTACTCGCTACGTAACCGCAATTTCCACCGACCGCGGGCGAATGCATTAATACGGCAATGCCATGAACTGTAGAGGATGGGCTTAATGTATTAGTATGTAAAGTACCTACTATAGTGCCTTATTTTTAAATTCATCTTTAGACATTTTACTTTATGGTGATCTATAGAAATACATTTTATGATTGATTGAAAAAAAAAAACATTCAGAAGCAGAAATGTAAAACGATTTACATAACTGTCCAGGTTTTCTAGATATGCACCTGCCGTGATATAATTTGTATAATTCCGATACAGTTAAACTATTTGGTAAACATAATTATTATTACTCTTACAATTTACTAGGCACACAAATACTAAATTTTTAATACGTAAAAAAGATGTTTTTTTTAGCAAACACCATTTAATATAACACACAGTAAACAACATGATGTTTCGTTTGAGATGTTTGACTAAAAATACAATTTTCCTACGCTTGCTGTGGAATTGCGAGATGTGAACGTTCTGGAGACGTTTAAGAAAACGTTAAACTTTTTTAAATAGGCATAATCCTTTATATGACTTTGATGTGCTGTAATAATATCATTATTTTTCATTTCCATCCGTAACATTCGATCTTTATTTTGTGACGCCTTTCGAGGTATACTATTGTCTAACATGAAAAATCATGTATTATAAATTCCATACAATGCACGCATTACAGCCTAAACATCTACAAATTTAGATATTCGAATTGCATACTATACTAATTATTAGCAATATTTCCATTAGAATACACCAATATTTGTCGTTTTTAAGAAAAATATTACTTCCTTGGTAGGGATATATTTCGACTGTAGAACTTACTGCAGCAACAACAGATTCATTGAGAACCAATACAAGATTGATCTTTCCTTTCCAGACAGTGCCGATGTGCAGAGCGCCTCTTGAGGACTAGTCATGCTGTCTGCGGTGCTAGCGGTGGTAGTGGCCTGTGTGGCGGGAATACACGGACAGGGATACAGATCATCCAGAGACTCATCCCCTCCACCAGTGCTAGTAGCCTCGTCTACCCCCTCCACCACGACCGAGCTTCCCCCCACCCCCGTGCCGCCTAGCATAGACGTAGGCGCCATCAGGGACGCTATGGCCATCAGCTACTACCCCAGCAGAAGAGAACAGCCTGCTAAACTGGACGATGTGAGTACATTTTTCAATGATAAAAGGCAATATCTATACAAAACTAAATGTTCAAATAGCTTTGATAAAAAACATTTAAAATGACTGAGCTGATACCAATACTAATAAGTACAATATGTTTTTTGTTGTTGATGAGTTAGAATGAGAACAACGTGAAAACATTCAAGTGGTAAAGGATAGTTAATAGTAAATTTGTTCCTGTAATTCTTAGGTTCAAAAGATAATTGCTTGACTGTTAAACATCAATTTTACAAAAACTCATTGATGGTTACATTACCATATTCCATATCTATTGATCTACTATCCATAAGCCAGGCTAAAATATTCGATTGAGTACCATTTCAATTCTAAAACAGTAGACCAAAGACAATTAGTACCCCTTTTTAATTTTTTCGATTTCATGAGTTCCTGGTTACTCTAAAATGATAGTAATTATAATTTAAAAAAAAGGTAAATAAACACTTGTGGTCGGTTAGTTGACCAGCCGGGAAACCTTTTCCTAAGCTGATTGTAAGTCGATTAAGGAGAGCGTGATCCGATATCAACTGTAAATATCTAATCGTGAGGAGTAAGCACATCAGCTTTCTTCTAAAACCACATAATAACTTTACAAACGAATAGCGAAGTCTATTCAAAATCAGACGTCTTGACCTCTCAAAGAACTTTCTATATAATCGTCCATGAATGTCACGCGAAGCCCAACTCATAACCGCAAAATTTACCTCCCAGTCGCCAGTATGATCTTTATGGCTCATCACACGGGAAGAAAAGAGTCATACCAAATGCATCATCATAACAAAAATAGAGGTTACACAGTAGACAAGCGGGATGATATCACCAATTCTTTTTTTTAAGTAATTATAAATTAACATACTTCCAACCTTTCTAGTATAAAACTATTTGTTCATATTAGACAACGAATCGTCTTGTTAAGTGTGTAGAAATTCCTTTACTAAAGTTTATCTAAAGGTTACTAATACAAAAACCAAACATACAATAAGTAAATAATTATTTAAATGTAAGCAAATATCTATTTGTATCAAGCCAAGGTATTTTTACCCTAAACTATGATATATTTCGACATTACGTTCGATTAATTGGGCAAGTAATATGAGAAAGCCTGTACCCAAAAATATCAAAACCTCCGATCTAGATGTAGATTAACAAGGCAAACTCATTAATAGCAGGAAATTAATAAGAAAACACTTCTGCTCCGACAAGCGACAAGGCAAATAATCGAAGTGGACCAAGTTGACAAATGGCGAGAGATTTTGTTTTAAGATAAATAATCAATAAGCTTTCACCACAACTAATTGGTACGAAGACAAATTAACCGCAATTAAAAACTAGTTTTAGGCTCAACTGACCTTTCCCATGACCTCATAATGAGAGCGATCTATTTTAAATCTTGATTAGGAAGTCACATCAAGGAGTTGACTAATTAATAATTGTGCATGAAAGGTACTGGTCAAACTAGAAGATAGACATACTCCCCTTTCAATGATTAATTCTCAATCACTGAGAGGGGGACGCCACATAGGTACGCATTTTAACCCGAATATATGAGTGAAGGATGGGTGTAGAATGAAATGAGGAGATGATTTGTGTAGCGTTCGTTGTTAATGTCTAAATAAAACGTCATGTTTGATGTAAAGCTGTCATGAATTAGATGAAAAGTTGGCTTTCTGTGGTTTCTGTCCAACAAAATGTCAATGGGACACTTTTGGGAAAACTATTTTTGTGACAATAACTTAGGAAACTTAGAAAATTGTCATATTATTTTCAATATAGGGATGTTATTGTCAATGTTTGATGCTTTTTGCGATCGGTTACTATAAATTAATTTAAATTTACAAAATGACGAGTTCATTTACAGGTTTATCAATTAGCATTAAATCATAATTTTTTTTACATTGCACGGTGTTTGGCTTTGGCAACCTTTTTGTCTGTTCAATTTAGGCTGAACAATGTGTTACAGAGTGTAAACACGTAAGAAATATTTAACGAAGAGGAATATTCCCCAAAACTTGTTTTTCGAAATAAACGCGGGAAATTCAACGTTCGGCAACTGAACCACACCCTCCAATGCCAATCGGGACTCAACCGCAATATACAAGTCCACAGCTCTCGACCTACTCCGCTATAAGCTCGCGAGCACGATGAGTCCTAAGTCCTGGTGATTACAACCACTCTAGGTACAGTATGGTGAAAGCCGCGTGGTTACCATAACACCATACAATACTCACTACTTGACATGCCGAGTAGATAACTATGTAAACGCACGTGCGACATTGACTGTACCGTTACCGTGACGTCACTGGCACGTCCTGTCTGCGTACGTACCCTTGGTGCAAGCGTGAAATACCTATAGTGTTTGACGTAGAAGTGAAATAAACCAGTAGGAAATCTTCTTATGAAGAAATAATAAACTATGCATCATTGTGTAAAATATCGCGCGTTTACTCCCACCTGCTGCACACAAACAACAAAAGATAAGGTCACGAATGTGTTATGACGAATTTGACTGATTAAACAACACGGAGTACAATTTAACATTTTCTGCACTCTAAAGATTCATGCACATCCTAAATAAAGTTATTGTAAAAGGCACTACAACACCACCTTGTGGTTGTGCTTTGGCCACTTTTTAGTAGGGTTCTAGCTACTATTCCCGTCATCCCGACCGTTGAAGTCACCGTTCTAGAGCTAGCATAATCCAATGTAAACTACACACTTTATTATTTTATTTAGCACCGAAATACGATCGGTGTCGAAATCATGCATTGTGTTTTATGCACTGGTTGGTTAACTTAATTTAGAGACTGTGTAGTAGTTTTCCTTCTAGTGATCTTGGCCGTTGAGATCACTAATCTAGAACTAGCAAATGACTTAGTAAACTGCACCGTAATACGAGTACTGATCATTTAACACCTAAATACAACGAGTGAAAATGGGGTTTCCGAGTTTTTAAAACAGTGTTTAGTAGTCTTAGTGACTGGTGCCGCATTTCGTTAAACCGACCTTATAGTCACTGCTCTAGGGTTAGGAAATAACATGGTAAACTACACCATGTTACGCATAACGTGCTTCATATAGCACCTAAATACAACTATAACGGCATTTCAGGTGGTTAGTCACTACTTAGTAGTCTTGGCCACTGGTCCCGCCCATCGATCCCGCCTTCAGTCGATCCGACCGTTGAAGTCACCGCTCTAGAGCTGGCATATGACATATTTAACTAAATCATGACGGGTAGTTGAGTCACTGTTTGTTAGTCCAGAAGCGAGCGATATGTCACACGTTCAGTCACTCCGATTGTTTATATCACCGTTCTGAGGCTAACAAAATGACATCAATAAAACACCTAATCCCTCAAGGAGAGCCTCTCAAGAGGCTGCCGAATGAGAAAATATTACACATTCAAACTTTAATACAACCAATTTGAAATAATAAATCTTCCCTACGCCCACCCCATCCAACACATATTGAAGTGAGAGATTCTCAAAGAAAACCTGTCTAGATTTTGTGGTTCTATCCAAACATCGATAGTTTTATCACGAAGTTCACATCAACTTAAATTCAAGCAATGTATCACCTCTTATTCCACTATAACTAACTAAAAGAACAAACTAAAATTATGCAGCTTAATTTTCAACTGTTGATAATTAAAGAAGCACTACAGGAATTTAAAAACTGCTTGGAAATGATTCCACTACTTAAATCAAAATGTAGATTGGGAACTTCATAGCCTTCGTAATCTTCATTACCCAAGAATACGTATTATTAAATAGAAAACGTGGAAAGTCCCCCAAATTGCCAAAAGATCGGTAGAAACTCTGGTACAATTCTCCTCACAGCTGTGATGACACACTATATGTCAGCTGTCGCCGTGTCGCAGTTGATGATACGATGACGCACTGCACACCCAGTGACCAAGTCCAGGGACCCAGTTTTGGGCTTTATCACTTTGAACGGTTCCGCCCGCATTTTTACTATCGTTCAGCAAAAGCGCTTCAGGTTTATAATTTTTGTAACTGGGTCAAAACGAACGCTTTGCGTCTTTGATTTCACCGAAAATAACAGTAAAGCGCAGTTCTCAGGAGATATTAGCTGCCAGGAAAAAAGTTAACCACTTAGTGAAAAAAATACATTAACATACAAAACCGAATAACATTTTAAAACCCCTTCTATACAATTTATTGCAATGTCATTTAGATAGGAAACACTATTTTTAGTGTTTCCTAAATGATAAGATTGTATAATTAAAAATAATAACATTTGTGTTAAATCTCATCACAAAGGTTGCTGTTTTAAATGGTTTTATCTTCGATCAGAATTTATAATAACCATACAATATAGAGTACCTACATAAAGATTGCAAAAAGTGCAATGTGTACAAATGAAATACAAGGTACAATACAAATAAATATCGAATGAAAGTTTGTAACACAGAAAAGTGAACACTTTGCAGTATGCTCAATGAGATTTACGTTCCATACCAGTAATTAATCCAGATTTATGTTTCAATCACTCTGATAGAATGTATGGGAAAACACACAACCTCTAATTATGAGACCGCGATAGTAATGCAAATTGTGCAGTTGTTAGTGCATAGTTTTTATCTTCGCTAACTGCAGTGTAATTATTATGAATCAGAATATTAACGGGAATGATAAACAAAGAGCTTGGTATTCTTAGGAATAGAGTCATGATAAAATAATTTGTAATTTCAGAAAATTGCATTATATTTAATTGTATAAGTATTTGTAAATTGAGTTTCACTTCTCCAGTCTTCGTAAAAACACTAAATAATATTTATTTTCCTTTTTAAGAACAAATTCGTAGATTTTGCACCCATACAAATGTTTTTTCTTCATTTTTCCCGATCATAATACCGATTTTAAGGCAAAATTAATATTGCTGTAATTTAAACCGTATAAACTGAAGAAATAATTTTACTTTCCGATTTTGGGGGTCGAAGGCTCAATCGATAGCGTTAG